TGGTTCGTTGAACAGCGGTGTTGTGTGCGAATGTTACGAATGGCAAGATTTTGTCCCAATTATCGTGGTTCGGTGCGATGTACATGGATATCATGTCGATTAGAGTCCGGTGGAATCGCTCTGTCAGCCCATTTGTCTGCGGGTGGTAAGCGGATGTGGTCTTATGAAGTGTGCCACAAGTTTTTAGAATTTCGTCAAGAATTGTCGACATGAAGGCCTTGCCCCGGTCACTCAACAACGTGCGAGGTGCGCCATGACGCAACACAATGGCTTCTAAAAAGAAGGCGGCAACGTCTGAGGCGGAGCTAGTGCGTAGAGGAGCGGTCTCCGCGTATCGTGTGAGGTGGTCGACGGCTGTGACGATCCAGCGGTGGCCCGCTGGCGTTACGGGAAGTGGCCCGACGAGGTCTATTCCGACAACGGCAAAAGGTGTGTCGGGACATGGAATAGGTTGTAATAAGCCAGCAGGAGCTGAAGTTGGTCGTTTCCGGCGTTGACAAAGTGCGCAAGAAGCGACATAATTAGCCACAAAAGTAGAAAGACCAGGCCAGAAGAAACGGCTCCTAACGCGGTTGTAGGTCTTTTGAAATCCCAAGTGTCCAGCTGATGGGTCGTCGTGCAATGCTTCGAGAACTTGTTTTCGCAGCGAACGGGGAAGTACTGGCACCCACCGATGCCCATCCGCATTGTAAGTATAGTGTTGCAGGACATTGTTCTCTAGCTTGAACAGCCGTAGCTGACGACGTAGTCTGGCATTAGGGGGAGAAGGCGAGCCATTCAAGTATCCGATGATGCGGTTACAGTAGGGGTCGTCACGTTGGTACGCGGCAAACTGGGCGCTGTTGTTTAAAGGTAGCAACCCAGCAACTGCCAGGGGTGATAACGTGAGTGAACAGGAAGCCACTTGATCACCTGAGGGGCATTCGGGATGCGTGGTTGGAGATGAAAGTGGCAGAGGGCAGCGAGAGAGAGCGTCAGCATCCTGATGCTGTTTGCCGGACCTGTACACAACGTCAAAAGTGTACTCTTGCAAACGCAGTATCCAGCGACCGAGGCGCCCAGACAAATTCTTCAGCGAGGACAACCAGCATAGGGCATGGTGGTCGGTAACCACAGTAAAGTGGCGTCCATACAGATAAGGTCGAAATTTCTGGATGGCCCAAACGACAGCGAGACATTCCTGCTCTGTTATCGAGTAGTTTTGCTCTGCAGGTGTTAGTGCGCGGCTGGCATACGCAACTACTCTCTCACGTGAAGTGTCGTCGCGCTGGAGGAGGACAGCACCGATTCCGTGGCCGCTGGCATCTGTGTGCAGGAAAGTGGGTGCACTCTCATCGAAGTGACGGAGGACGGGGTCTGATGTCAAAGCACGCTTAAGGGCTTGGAAAGCACACTCGCACTCGTCAGTCCACGTGAAATCCGTCCCTGACGTCAGAAGCTTGTGTAACGGCCCCGCAATGGCAGCAAAGTGACGGATGAAGCGGCGGAAGTAAGACGCCAGGCCTACGAAACTTCGCAATTGTTTTTGATTGCGCGGACGTGGAAAACTAATTACGGCAGCAACCTTGTCGGGGTCGGGTCGAACGCCGTCTTTGCTGACAAGGTGACCCAATACTTTGATGCTTGTGCTGGCGAAGTGGCACTTTTTTGTATTCAGCTGTAGGCCAGCGTTCGAAATGCACGTTAGAACTTCGTCCAAACGCTTAAGGTGCTGAGAAAAAGTAGAAGAATAAATGACGATGTCGTCTAAATAACATAAACAGGTTTTCCATTTGAGACCACGTAAGACAGTATCTATCATGCGCTCAAATGTTGCTGGAGCGTTGCATAAGCCAAAGGGTATGACGTTAAATTCGTAAAGCCCGTCAGGCGTCGCAAACGCTGTTTTCTCCTTGTCTGCTTCGCGCATAGGTATTTGCCAATACCCGCATCGGAGGTCGAGGCTGGAGAAATATTCTGCGCCTTGTAGGGAGTCCAGGGCATCATCTATGCGTGGCAACGGATATACGTCTTTTTTCGTGATCTTATTGAGCGCTCTGTAATCAACACAAAAGCGGACAGAGCCATCCTTTTTCCGGACCAACACCACAGGAGACGACCAGGAGCTGGATGAAGGTCGAATAATATCCCGTTTGAGCATGTCGGCGACGTTTGTCTCGATGATTTGCCGTTCAGCCGAAGAGAGACGGTATGGGCGGCGGCGTACAATGGAGCTGCCTTCGGTTTCGATGCTGTGCTCTGCAACGGAGGTGCGGCCCAGAACTTTGCAATGTACATCAAACGAAAGGCTGTGCTTTTGGAGAAGGTCTAAGAGGTCTCTCTTTTGCTCGGCAGTGAGGTGAGGACTTATGGTGTCATTTAAGGTAACAGTGGTAGCCTTGATATCAGTAGTAGCAGACAAAGGCGGTGATTCTGCGTGAAGGGGAATCAGTGAAAAGGACTCACTGTCAGCGAAGCAGCTCACAGCAGTGCCCTGGGGCAGCATCACTGGCGAAGAAGTTGGATTCAAGGCGGTGACCAATGCTTTACCGTCGTTAAACCGCACAAGGCCGGGTGCTATGGTAAGCCCCGCAGGTTTCGAGCGAACTGATGGAGCTATGAACACGTCACCATTAACTATAGTATCCGAAGCGATCGTTAGAAGTTGTTCATCTCCTGGCGAAATGAAACAATCAGTAGCAGCAATGAAACGGAAGCTGTATGGATCGACATCCGATGAACTCTCAGTGGCTGACATTCGAATGACTCGCTGACGACACGATATGAAAGCTGATGCCGAAGAAAGGAAGTCCCATCCTAAAATTACTGTGTGAGTGCACAAAGGAAGTACAAGAAACTGAATGTGGTGAATGATGCCATCTATGAAAACACGGACTGTGCAAACACTTGAAGGCTGAATAGGGACTCCATCTGCGCAACGAAGGGGAGGACCATCGTAGGGCGTCCTAACTTTTTCAATCGGGCACAAAAGTCTGCACGAATTACGGAATGTGATGCGCCTGTGTCCACCAGTGCCTCTGTCTGTATACCTTCAACATACACCAATAAAATATTCGATGGGCGGTCCGGAGGAGTTTGACGCAGTTCGAAAGATGCAGCTTTCCCTCCCGAAGCTGCACTGTTCAGTTTTCCAGTTGGCGGTCGGGAATTGAAGTAGAAGGTCGGAGAGGAGAAGAAGAACGCCGCATCGGTGAAGGTGAGCGACGACGTGAGAACCGGGAACTGCCAACTGGGTGAAAGTTCTGCGGAGACGGCGACCGACGTGTGCTGTTCGGATACAGCCGACGATAGGGTGGTCCAGTCGCGTAGAAGTCGTCCCGTTCAAGGTTATCGTAGCCTCGTCGTTCGTCTTGCTGACGGCGTCGGCAAAACCTTGAAATATGACCACGGATGCCGCAATAGAAGCAAGTCGGCCGCGAACTGCGCCAGGCGTTGTAAGGCTGGGAAGATGGTCGCGGTGCGAGTGAGTTGAGCGAACCATGTACTTCGGGCGCTGGTAGCTGCATTGGGCTTTGCTGGGGTGCAGGCGTCCTAGCAGCAACCTGAGCATACGTTGGCATGGCCACAGGATATGAGCTCGGGACAGGTGTGACAGTCATCGAGGCCAGGCTCTGGTGGGGCGTAGGTGTCGTTGCAGCAACGTGAGCATAACTGGGCATGGAATGTGAACTCGGAGCTGGTGTACTAGTCATCAAGGCCAGTTCCTCCCTCACGACATCGCGCAAACTAGTGGCGGGTGGCGTCGTTCGGATATCGAGGTGGCGAGGTGAAGCCTGTGCGTGAAGTTCCTCGCGGATGATAGAGCGGATCAGTGCACGCAGCTCTGTTGTATCTTGAGTGGAGCTCAGATCAGACATATCAGGTTGTACCCGAGTGGTCTGAAGCTCCTCAAGGCGCTGACAGGTAGCGACAACATCGGCTACGGTTTGCGGATTTTGCACCACAAGCGCATTAAAAGCGACAGTCGCAATTCCTTTTAGTAGGTGGCGCACACGGTCGTTTTCCGCCATATTGTTGTCGATGCGGCGGCAAAGGGCGAGAACATCTTCGATGTAAGAAGTGTAAGACTCGCCAGGGCGTTGAACACGTGCGCCAAGCCTCTTTTTGGCGATATCCGAGCGCACTGACGGGTTGGCGAAAATCTGGCGGAGCTGACGTGTAAAGGCGGGCCATGTCGGAAAATCTGTGGCGTGGTTGAAAAACCACGTTTTTGCGACGCCGCTCAGGTAGAATGCAACGTGGGTGAGTTTTGCAGGCTCATCCCAGTTGTTGATAACACTCACGCGGTCATACTCCTCCAGCCAGTCTTCAACGTCTTCACCCGGAAGCCCTGCGAACAGCGGAGGATCCTTTTGAGGGCTGGTGACCAGGTGAGAAGGGTTTCTTGCCGGTGGAAGTGGTGGCGAAGCTGGCACGCTGGACTGGGCGGCTTGCGACATTACCGAACCCAGGTCGTTTAAGCGGCGGCCTGAACGGAGCTCCAGGGATGTGTTCTAGGAGACGCTGGGGTGACCGAAAACGCGAGAGGACGCAGGAACCGGGCAGCACTCTCCACCACTTGTAAGATGGCGTCGAGAACACTCGAGACTCTCCTTTTATTCACTCGAGTATGTGCCCCACAACCTAAACTTGACTGGTGATGATGAGTATTTACAGATGAAAAGATGGGACGCATAAATAATGCTCACAATACATACATACATACATACATACATACATACATACATACATACATACATACATACATACATACATACATACATACATACATACATACATACATACATACATACATACATACATACATACATACATACATACATACATACATACATACATACATACATACATACATACATACATACATACATACATACATACATACATACATACATACATACATACATACATACAGACAGACCAGAAGTTTTGCGTCGAAGGTCCCCAAAAAGGACTATTGTCTTTAACAACGCGCATCGGCGTCTGGTGGCAGCACTGACCTCTCCGGAGTCGCAGCGTCCCCAGCAGGACATGGCGGTGACGTCGTCCCAGCAGCGGTTCCCGTTTCCGTCGGTGCGCGTGGCTCGGAACGAGTACTCTCGCCGGTGGCACTCGATGGTGGTCAGCGTGTCCACCGCCACGTCTCCTCCGCGCACAGCCGATGTTCCGCCCTTCAACATCGACGACGACGACAACTCGTTTTCGTGGTCATGGCGCGGGGTGGACGCGACGGCGCTCGCCACCAGGAGCCAGCACAGGACCAGGACGGGAACCGCGACTGTCCGCATGGCGACGGGAATGCTGTAAGGGAAAAGAGAAGGAGCAGAACGCGGGAAGCTGAGCAGTTTTATTACTAAGGCGAAACCCTTGAAGGACCTGTGAACAACCACGAGGTCCAAAAATCACTGTAAAGAAAAATATGTGCACTTTTGCTTTGTGAACATGCAGTCGCAAAAATTTTGTGAGCACGTGCTATATTAAGGAAGTTACAGGGGTCAGAGCATCGATTTCAGCCGGTTTCCAATTTTCTCGCGGCCTCACCACCCTTCTCCCTCGCAGGGAGGGAAAGGCTGCATGCAAGAGGCCGACTTCCGGTTCAACTAGGTTGACTCATCAGGATTGTGGTGATGCTGGCTTGCAGATGCTCAGCGACGAAAACGGTAAAATTAAAATAGATGTTATATGTGCTGCCTGGGTACACAGTGTGCTAAGGACGCTACATACCAAAAAAAAAACGCAAAACGATCATTTTGCTATGCCGAAAAAAATTTTTTATGTATATATGTTTCTATGTTCTGTGTGTATGAAAATGTATTCGTGACCCATTATTATGTTCTGATAAATTTGACAGTGTTTTTATGTGCGTTTATGTATTTTGCTACAAATTCATTTGTACGAATTTTTAGTCCCCCCCCCTAAGTATTGCCTATATGGCGATGTAGATACTCTGTAAATAAATAAGTAAATAACTCTTGAAAGTGGCTTTTTGCGCCTTGGTCGAAACGCGGAGGTCTCAAAAAAGGCACTACAAACCACGTGACCCTCTCGGGGCAAGTGACTCAGTGCTGTGTGATGCATTACAACGGGTAAAATCGTTTTCCCCTTACAGTGCTTCTTCAAAGAACAAAAGCGCACCCGTCCGTTTTAGGTGCGAAGAACCGTAGAGTCTCAAGTTGTCTGCGTCTAATGACGTCACGGTTCATCGTAAGAACAGGTATATGTGGTACAACAATTTCGTAAATCTCACTGCTCCACTAATATTGAAGAAGGCCGCAGTTGGCCCAACAGTGACGTTAGTGAGGACGAAACAGCCTTCCTTACATGCTGTAAAGAACAAGAACCCGGGCACCTAGAGAAGGAAAAGACGAAGAACAATAATGATAAGAAGAAGAAGATTAGCGTAAGCTGTGCTCGGACGCAGTTTTCCAACGACGTTATTGGAGCGATGACATTATTCCCTACATGTACTGTTTCAGGCTTGGCGCTGTTAGTGCCTCGACTAAGAAATCTCCCACATAGCACTGCATGCGCCCCAGTTTTTTTTTTCATTCTTTATTTATTCCGGGGTAGTGTAACAATGCATATGTGCTCTGTGAAATCCCAAAAAGAATAAATACTTAATTGGCCCCATGTACTCGTTCTTTGCCGCACACACCCACAAATAAAATCCAGACTGATATCGACGGAAAAATTCGTGCTGCAATTTGGCGTATGTGTATACCCCTCGTAAACAATATGATGAGAGCATGGCGCGGTGCTACATTGTGACTCCCGGCTACCACGACGTGGTAAAAGCAACGAAGGGTCACCAACGGATTGCATTACGCGGAGCAATAAGCGGGTCTCCTACAAATGCTAGCCGGCTCTCCTTACAATGCATTGCGATTTGTTTTCCCACTGCAGCGCTGAAAAAAAAAAACACGAAAGAAGGAGGTGCACAGGCCTATGTAATTGCAGACAACGTCTCGTTCTCGACGAGCGATCCTAATTGATCACAGCTATAGAGCAATCTTTTGCTAGAAGGATATTCTTAAAGAAAACAAAACAGGACAGTAGCCCCACGCTTACTCGAACGAATCGCAGTTAAAGTTTTAATCGAAGCGTAGCCCGATATTCAACAAGCTTCTCCCTCGTTGAGAATGAGAATGTGTTTTTTTTTTTCAAACAGGTCAACAGGTAAGGCAAGCCTACTAATGCATTAATATTTGGTTGTTTTTAGATGCAAGAAGTCGGGGGTCGATCCTCCTCTTTCACTATTGGACTGCGAATGCACCCTTACCCTAGCAGATATATCTCGAAACATCCCTTCATCTCGGAGGCTTTTGTTATAATCGTACAGGTTGGCCCGGCCCCTATACCAAATGTCCCCGAGGGTTGCGCAAGGAGAACAGAATTCTGTGTTTTGCTGTGAAATGGCGTGTCTGACCTTTTCTCCCGTATTTCGCGCGGAATGATCGCTAAAAAAGTAAATTCTGGGAATAATCATATTGTTTCGAAAAGCACTCGTGTTACAACAATAATTCATGCCAAACAAGCTGATATTATATTCCCTTATTCCGTTTGTGCACGTACGTCGACTCTTTCTCGACATCGTGTACATGTGAAACTTCTTTTCTGCCTACGCTCGATTCAAAGCCCGTTGATAAGACGCGATTCGTTCCGTAATGCCTTTGTACTCCTACTTCGTCGTCTGCAGATATGCCTTCTCATTCATCGCACATAATTGAAAAAGATCTGGGGCAAAATGCCCACCGCTGTTCACACGTGATGCTTGCAGATACTGCCACACGCGTTTTCATTGATAATGGAAATACAAAGAAAAAAAAACAGTTTCCCCTCAGCTCGTCGGTATGAATGTACGTTGCAAAACGGCTGCCACAATCAAATTGAGAAATTTGCTGCAATGCACGGAAAACTGTTTGACATAAAAAAAAGCGTCGCTTCTCGTGTGATTCCAATGACGCCTCCGCCGTCCCCCCGACACCCCAAAACAGCGGCAGCAGGTGGTCATGTATTCCACGCACTCATTTAAATTGGTATGAGCGCTTGCTTAACGATACCTTCTTTTTCATTTTTTGTCAGACAACACAAACATATTCTCAACTCCTGCACGAAAGAACGGGCGTCTCACTATAGATTCGAAATGGCCGTGCCTCTACACATGTAATAATAATAATAATAATAATAATAATAATAATAATAATAATAATAACAGAGGCGATCGATAGATAAATCGCGCGACGAGCCGTTGTTGGGAGTCATGCAACTGTCACCAATAAACAGTGTGAATTTAATCTATTCACTGCAAGCTTATGCACACCTTAGTAGAAAATACCTACACATTGAATGTACGGAATGATGTCGAATAATAATAAAGTGTAGAGGGACTTGCTTCCGAATAAAGGTAAGGTTTCTGGCAAAAACAACAAAAACTTCGATCGCCTTGAATGGAACACGATAGCGTAATCGTGTACAACGCCTTCAGCGATGCAACAAGGAAAGTAACGTTTGTGCGCAAAATACTGACCGTTTCAAGCTATCTCCCAGAATGTCCACTGAATGCGTTAGTGCGCCAAAATTCTTCCTTTTGCTAATTGGCAAAGTACCCACCACTTGTGCGAATCAGGTGTCACGTCAACCCTTTTGTTTTGACGCCTGGCGTGATTCTACACTTCCGCGACGCAATACTGCATGCGTTAAGGATACTCATTGCATTGTATGACATTAATACTGTTCTTTTTTTTTTCAAAGCAGTCTCAAGCGATCACGTGGCTGTGTGGTAGAACACCTGCTTGCCACGCTTGGCTTGGGTTCGATTCGGACTTCGTAGCAAACATTATATATATATATATATATATATATATATATATATATATATATATATATATATATATATATATGTATGTATATTATACATGAGACAATATACACACACACGAGGAGGGATGCGAGCTCCTGCCCCCACAGCAGGCGGGAGCTTCTACGGGCTACGTTTTCAACACGAAAAAACGGTGACAAAACTTTATCTGGAGCGGCCGTCCACATATACAGATGCACTCTACACATAACAAACTGCCACCAGCGGCGACACACGACGTATAGCCCTTAGTACTAGCATGTGCTGCCCGCGGGAAGCGCTTCTCGCCAATGCCGTCACTACGCACGAGCTTTATTGTGGTCATCTATTGTGGCCACACCGCATGAAACTTGGTTACTTATCAAGCGCATGTTTACTACAATTGATATTGCTCCTAAAAATGCTAGCCTTGCTTCGTAAAACATTCGATTATGTTGCTATCGTATTCATCGTTTCACCCTTTTGGCAAAACTCTGACTTTTTTTTTATTTTGGTTGCATCTTTCTCGGTTTCTCGGCCACGGACCAGATGATCATTTTTCTCCCACAACCAACGACGCCGACGCGGGAATTTCTTCCAAACGAGCTCTTTACCATTGTCACGTTAATATTGTCTGAAAACTTGCGTTGTAACATAATAATAAAATGATCATGTTAAAGGCAAACAAAAACACGACAAACACTACTGTTTTAAAGTAACCAGTACACTGGTTTATTTAAAACAGTAGGAGTGGTAAAGTGATGGTAATGGTAGATATGCCATTACCGTAAATAAATGCTATTTTAAAATATTCATCAATGCAGTTATATTATTGACCGCTCGTCAAAATTTCAGCTACAGCGACACCCCACGTTTAATAATTGTTCATATCTTCGAGCATTCATTTTTTTTAATCCTACCATATATACATACGGACATATTAATTTAGAAATAGAAAACATGTTGACTACTGAACGATTGGAAAAAAAATATATGGCTGATAGAAGATGTAATGAGTTTCAAATGTGAAAAGCTAAAATTATATAGGCTGTGTGTTCTATTTAGTTCACACACACGCGCACACAACATTGCCCAACGTTTCTAGAACAAGTTGAATTACCTTCTAGATAGAACTTATAGAAACAAGTTTTCTTAACGTTGTGCCACTCTTACCTACCTACCGGCCTGCCTGCGTGCCTGCCTGCCTGTGTGGTGTTGAATCTTTGTAATCTGTCGTACGTTAATTGCATTTCGGACATTTTATTTTACGTTAAGATGGTTTTAGTCACAATATTAATGAGAGATGACAGACAATGCCTTGATTTCTTCAAATTTACATTACAATTCTAAAAACTACCCCGATATTGATTTGTGGGGTTTAACGTCCCAAAAAGCACGATATGATTATGAGAGACGCCGTAGTGGAGGGCTCCGGAAATTTCAACAACCCGGGGTTCTTTAACGT